GGCCCAACGTGGACTATAAGGTACACTTCTCCTATAAAAAGGGGGAGAAGGTACTCATTTCATTCATTCTCTCTTCATTCCATTACTACTCTCTCTCATACTCTCTCCTACTCTTTCTCTATGCATTCTCATATGAATCCAGTACTGACTTAAGCATCGGAGGCCCAAAGCCGGGAACCCCTCCCGGGGTTCCGGACTTTGGGTTCTTGCAGGTACGGTGGTCGTCCGAGTCGAGAGGACGATACTAAAAAGTCATAGCAAATCCCGTAGCTACTTTTTTGCAAAGTATTCTTTTGTATAAGGGTTTTTACATAACCGAGTCCTTGTTTCGAGTACATTCAAAGGTCTAGATTTTTTGTCTAGACCTTTAATTCGATATAGCAAATCGTCGGTGAAATGATGGTAGGGAACTTGAGATGGAGCTGGAATCTCTAGCTGAGGATATGTGGGGGGGACCGGCACTAGACCGAACTGAAATCACCTTTCAATTCGACTTAGCACAAGCACTGTCTCCTTGTATAATCTGGATTCCAGACATTCATGAGCTGGAGTGGAATAGCTTAGCCCTCCGTCTAGTAGCGAAGCATCTCTCTGAAAGCTGTTCCTAAGAATATCTTAAAAAAATCTAAGAAAAACTTAAAGTTGAATGCTCGCAATCATATTTAGTATTTTGATATTTTATTTAATATTTGATAAATGTACAAAGTTCGAGAGCATACTAGCCCAATTATAGATAACTCCTACACAGGAGGATCACCAATGGTGTCCTAGAAGGCCCAGAAGATGACGTTTTTGTGGATTTTAGCCTTGTGAGGCAGTCTCCCTAAGTCTCGAGCGGGCCATATCGGACTAAGTCACATAGCGTGCCTTCGATATGCATGTCGAACTAAGTCACATGGCGTGCTTTTGACATGTACTCTTATCCAATGCCCCGAAAACCTAAGGGTTCCTCCGCAAGGTTCATCCACGGAGGGTGAGTCAGGGCCTAAGATCAGGCCGAAAGGCGTAGTCGATGGACAACAGGTGAATATTCATGTACTACCCATTGTTGGTCGGAACATCACTTGATGAAAGGCTTGATCAAGAGACCGAAGCCAGTGAGTTTGCGTACTCGAGTGAGAGTACCTTGGTGAAGAGTACTTAGCTTTGTAAAGAGAGCTTCTTCTGAAGCAAAGTGTTGAGTCCACGGATGGATTACCTTGCCTTAGGAAAGAGAGATGCTAGCTCTTCCAGTGGGTAAGCACTTCTCTTCTTGGCCTTGGGAGAGTTAGGTAACTTCATGGTTCCCTATATATAAGATATGGCTGGCAGCTAAAAAGCTTATTATATATATCAAGTATGGCGTCGTCTAAGCCACTATGGTAGGAAAGAGTTTGAATGCTTGCACAGACACCAGATTGGACTATAGCTCGGGAATCTGTCTCCTTAAGCGAACTAGACTTTGAACTCCTCCTAGAACTCCCTAGTTTGAGGCTAACTCATATAAAAGCTACAAAGCTGCTCTTTCTACCCGGATTCTTTATCTCCTGAACCAGAATCAGCTGTTGTTGGAAATCCACCACGTCAAGGCTTGATGTAATTAACCTCAATTATACTCAACCTTCGAAAGATGACAGTCGAAGTGATTCAGAAGTTCAAAGGTGACCTCTGGGCAGACTTGAGGGCTGAAATCCCTCTGAATGAGGGTCGATGTAATTGAGGGAACACGAACTCCTTTTTTAGAAGGATGCCACCTCTACCGCTCTTTCAGAAAGTTTGGAAAATCTATCCCGTGTCTCGTCCGCCATGATTGCACGCCGGAAGAACTCCCCTCGCCTTTGAAGCCTTTGAGAAGACTTACTTAAGCTCTTGTACCGTAGCCACAATCTGTTGGATGATATCCTCCATGTTAGAATCACCATCTTCTTCCACAGGGGCTGTCAGCAATGCATTCATCTCATCAGTGACTGCCTTTTTTATCAATGGAAGAATTTCATGCCCTCCTCTAGAGCCATTAAAGGTATAAATCCTGGAATAGAAGTCTGACCGCTTATTTCTTGTTCCCATTCAAGCATGAGTGAACGCTTTCTTCTCTAAGAGACGAAGCATGATTCTTCGCCAAGTAGGATTCTAAAGCACCAGAAGCAGCCACGTAAGCTCAGCGCATTCGGGAATTATATATAGGGGAACAGCGCTTGGACAAGGTGCTGCGGGCGTTCCAATAGCAGCAACCACGACAGTTCGACGCACCTCCGAGGCGCGAGCATCTCAGACACGCCGATCACGAACGACGCCAGGAGTGCAAAATACAAAGTCCATGATGATTTTGTGAGATACATTGAGGACCAAGACCGAAGCAAGCAGGGCAAAACCTCTCGGTGACGTTCGGAAGGCACAACCATTGTTGGAAATGAAGCTTCGGGGTGACATCTTTGTTCCGTCAGAGACGATCATACTTATATAGAAATGCAATCGCGGTCTCTTCTCCATCATTCTCCCCCAGTTGAGAAGGATTCGGTCGTAAATCTGAATCAGTCTCGTCTCCATCGGAGTCATGCGTATGGCAGGAAGCGTCTGACCTTTTCCCCAATCGATCACGAAGGATGAATGTCGAACCTCAATGGTATCACGAGCATATGGGTCAGGTTTCTGATCTCTACGTGGGATACCCATTTTAGGGTCTTGAATGCTTGAGAGAATGAATCGTCTCTCGGTTGTTGGATCTCCGAATGGTAAGGGACCATTAGCAACAACAATGTAATCATCATTCCACTCTCCATAATGAGCAAAACCATTGTGTTCAATAGAGTATATCATTGTACCAACAACAACATCTGATGTCGCCCTTCTACTCGCACATGGAGAACCAATAGATTTTGAAGGTTGGCTCGCATCTGAAGCCACACAGTCCTCCTCTTCATCTGGCCCTGGGGGCTCCTCATAAAAAATTGGAGGACCGTCGTAGATATCACACGCGTCGGGCTCAAAATCTGTGGGATCTCCAAACTCAAGCACGTACTCGACCGACACTCCTAGTTCCCAACACGACTCTGCACCACCGTCCATCGCATGGCCAAAACCACGCCGTGGTTGCATGTCCCCGCACGGCGAAAATTGTGCGGCTGCACATCGTCGCCCTCGAAACCCCAGCCACGACGTCGGTATTCGTCGGCTGCAAAGTCCCGGTTGTCGCACCGCCAACCCTAACTACCAAGCGTGTAGCCTCCTTCAGTCGCGTCAAAGCTGCTGCAAATCGGCGAACTGGTTGACCACATAGATGGTGTCATTGTCATCGTTATCGCCTGATGGTGGATGTGGTGATCGCCGGCGGGGCGCCCCGCCTAAACTATGGCCACCACATCCACCGAAAAATCCCCCGCGCACACTCCGGTCCCGGCGACACGGTTCGTTTGCAAATCCTTGACCACATTGTTAAGAGTCAACCGCAAATCCTCGATTGGCAAATTAATTCGTGAAACGCACGTCCAACTATTGAAATCGGTAGTCGATCTCTTGATACCGATAGTTGAAGGTTGTGTCACGTAGTTCGTTTGCGGCATCTTGTTGTCTCGGCAGCATCGCGAATTGTACTGACTGCTGATACCAACTGATGTTGGGAAGCGTACGAATAGGAAGGATAAATGAGATACTTTCTCGATAAAACTTACAAAACTCAATTAATTCTTATTATCAATTCACCAAGTAATAATAAAGGAGGAGAGTCCTTTATATAAGGCTCTCAAAACTAAAAATCTTATCTTGCTAAACAAGAAAATACCAAATAAATAAATATTCTCCTACAGACTAGAAATAAGGAAATAATAATATTCAACTACCAACTAGAAATAAAGAAACAAGGAAATAATAAAAAAAAATATAAGTAATAAAGCTAAATATAGAGATGATTATATTTATCTAAATATGCAATCACGGTCCCGTCTCCATCATTAATCCTCGAAACTTTGTACATTTTTCAGTGCTATAGTATATGTCATTTTGAGTGCCATAGTGTTCCTTTGAGAAAAAACTAGTATTCATCCTGTGCACATGCACAAAGAAAAATAAAAATTTATATATTATGTTTATGTATACATTATATACAAATTTTATATTAAATAATTGATGTATTACATTTTAAATTTGAACTACAAACAAATGTGTAATGTAAATATAATTTATTTAACTTACGTATGAATCTTTATATTGATGCCATAAATTTTAACGGCTAATATAATTTAGTAATTTAGAGAGACCATACAATTAATTAGTTAGAAAAGTATTACAAATATTTTTACCATTGTTATAGCATTTGTTTATGTGATTTAAGGTGTTTAATTATGACACTCATGCCAATTAACTTATTAGATAAAAATCGCTTAAAAAGGACAATATTTTATTTCAGAAAAAGTACTTTAAAGAAAAAAATTGCAATACAATTTTTTATAAGTATGTAACTTCCACATATTATTTAATGTAAAGTTGTAATCAATTAGTGTTAGTAGTGAATAAATTATATTAAAATTATTATTACACCTTATTAATGTAAAATGTAACGGTTCTACATTAATTGAAAAATGAGCGGAAAAATGAATGGAGGTTTTATTAAATGTTTTATTAAATTCTATATGCCAGCAATTATATATATATAGATATATAGAGGGACAGAATAAGCACACTAGTTAATTACACTAATTAAATAATTTAAAATAATTAATACACCATAAGGCAACAAAAAAGCCGGTGTTCCAGTTACTGCTACACCTACAGGCCCACATAATTCAACGACTCCAATTCAATTCTCAAACCAAAAAGCTGTGACCTTTTCCGGTTTTTTTTTTTTTTTTTTTTTTTCCTATGGTACGTTTCAGTAGATCTCTGCGTATAAATTTTACATTTTCCGGTTGTTCCCCTTGTTTAAATTTTGTGGGTCTGTTCAATTTCTGAAAAAAATTCTGCAGTTGCTTGCTCGGTGAAAAAAAGTTTCGATCTTGGAATTTATTGAACCAAAAAAAAAAAAAAAAATGAAATCCGGAAAAGACCCTCCTCAAGAAGACAAAGTGGAGGAAAAAGACGAGTTTGGTTCGAAGAAAGGCGTCTCGCCATCTGCTAATAATTCGAAAGGTACAGAGTCATTTGTTTGTACATTTTTTTTTTTTTTGAATTATTATTTCATCTTTTTGGGAAATACTACGGTCCGGGTTACGGAACCATTCCGTCGGTGTTGTAACCATTAAATCATCATGTAACCGTCAGGGATAGTTGATCTAACGGTTACAAACTCTGACAGAATGGTTCGGCAACGGGACCTTAGCATCTCCCACATCTTTTTATTTATTTTTAATGTGTTTAGAATAGGAATCACTTTAATTTTTGTATGAATTTGGTGGAAGCAGATGGGATGAATAGTGATAAAGCTAGTGCTATAAGGTCGAAACACTCAGTTACTGAGCAGCGGAGGAGGAGCAAGATCAATGAGAGGTGAATAAGTTACTTGGCCAAATGGAAATTTTAGTCCTTCAACTATACGGGTGTTGCAGAAAAGGTCCTGTTTTGCTCCCAAGAAAGGGAATCTCTCAGAAAAGACTGGTTTTTATTACTGGTTGCCAAAAATTTGCGTGAAAAAATCTACATATTTGCATTTAACATGGAGGTAGATTGTCGTATGAACTGCGAAAATTGCTCGATAATCAGAAGTTGGTTGTATAATGTGTGAAAGTGTTTTGTTTGTTACTTTATTGCAGAGTAGTAAGACTAGTTGTGGAGTCGGTCGTGGTGTCGGAAATCTACATCCCCTTGCTTTTAAATGCTCACCAAGTTATGCTGAGTTAGAAGCATGACTGCATGAGATGGCATAACACTCCTTTTTTTGCGAGTTTCATTTTTATTAAGTGCTTGCAAAAACACCCTTATAAGGCATGGTAAACAATTAACTGTCTCGCGTTTGTTAATCTCTGCCAAAATTGTGGGAGTACTGTTTCGTATGGGTAGTTTCTTTTGCAAGTCTATCATCTGACCAACTTTGTTTGTTATCTATTTCATGACTCATGAGTATGTTGGTGTGTGAGATATCTTGACCTTTATTCTTATCAAATGACCTTTTCATGTGAAGCATCACCTATACTTGTATTGAATTCTCTTATGATTTTTTGATTTGAATTTATAAATTATGTAAGTTTCTGAAAATACTTGTGCTCAGCAGAAGCAGTGTTTCTTGCGTGTTTCAGATTTTCGATTCTGAGGGAACTGATACCGCACAGTGATCAGAAGAGAGACACAGCATCATTTTTGTTAGAGGTATATAAATTGAGTAATGGTGATTTACGAATTTATCCTTGAGAGAAAGGTTCTCCTTAGTTACGGGGAACCCATTTGCATTATGCACCTTTAGTCATTGAGGTTTGCACTTGTTTATGAATTGATCATCGGCTAGTAATTTCTAAAATAGAAATGGTGAATTAATGAAAAGATGTATAGGTGATTAAAAAATATAGTTGTGCATTGTAATTAGAAACCTCAAGGGTGTTTCTGTACTTTACTGGTTACATATGATTCTAACTTTCAACAATACATCTGAACTGTACGCAAAAGTGTTGTTTGTTTGAGTCTCAGGAAGTGTACTTGTTGCAACATCTGTTTCACCTCCTAATTTTTTAGGCTTATTTTGGTTTCATTTAATTTTCTTTCGGAAAATAAACTCGATATATCCCTCTACTGTGTACTCTTCATCCAACAAATGTTTTGGTTAGGGTGATTAATAAATTTCCAAAACTTGTTCTCTTGTCCTTACTTGTCATCTCCTCAAAGAAAATCCTCATATGGCCATATGTTCAACACCATAGTATGATTAATAAATACATAATTCATAAGATTTAATAATTAACAATTGACTTAAAAATGCAATCTCTTAATTTCTAATATTTATGAAGAACCAGATTGGGGTATTAGAACCACATTGCCAATTTTTTTTCCTCTTTCCTTGGATTCGGGGCTGCTTTGCTTGTACTAGTTGTGGTTACAAATTACAATAAATTGTTTTGTCCCTTTCCTTTTAATATTTCTTATGTTTTGGGCTGATGCATCACATTGTATTTAATTGGACTTAGTCTCTTTCATTTTTTTGGGTTTTTTCAACGAATTCTCCGCCATATATTTTATCTCGTATTTTTGCTCAATATCTATACATCTATTGCTGATTGTTGATTTGTTATGCAGGTGATTGAGTATGTGCAATTTTTACAGGAAAAGGTCCATAGGTATGAGGGATCATATCAGCCTTGGAGTTCAGAGCCTGCAAAACTGATGCCGTGGGTAATATTTTGTCATCCAACTTTATATTATACATTTGCTTACATATTGTTTAGGTGATGGACTTCGTTATATTTATTTTTCTATAGAACTGTAGACGACATTGATAGGCATACTCAAAGTCGAGCTATTCCTCTCATGGCATTTCCAATAAACGGTAGGATAATTCATTTTAGTTATTTGATACGTTATGTTCGAAATATTTTCACACTATACTCTATTAAATTGTAATTAGTTATTTGTAACTTACTTTTATTTTGTAAATAATTGTATTCTTTTAGGACATGTAGTTTCGTGAGTAGATTATACCATCCTATAACTTATTCATTTGACTAATATCTCTTATTAGAAAATCGTGATACATAGATCCAAATTGAAGGTGCGCACTGTTACGGTGGACTGTCATACTAATTGATCATGTTGAACCAAACCTTCAAGAATCTGCTGTATTGGCAAAAGCTAATAAAACTCGAAATGTCATTAAACCCCCAAAATTAACTAAAATTGGTCAAAAGCAGAAATGTGATTGTGATGTACCATATAGACAAAAAATTTCTATAGTTCATATACTAAAATATTTTTACCTGTGTGGTTGGCATATGGCTGTTTCCTGTAAAATAAATTCTTAATTTCGATTTTACCAATTATTATCCTAATCAATTAATCCAACCCTTGGTTACTTGCCTTGTAAGATGACCAAAATAAGAAAAACCCCAATCCATTCAATTTCTAAACTTCATCTCCTTGTCCCACTTGACTTAGAGAAACAGTCACTGGCGAAATTTTGCAAGCCCGTCGCAGACTGTGAAAAATGGCTCTGATCCTGGCCTGCCTCCTGCATTCCCCATGAGGTTCGATGAAAATAGTGCTGCGGGTCCAGCAACCGTACAACCGGGCCTGCATAACCAGCCCATCGAGCCCGAACATGGTAGGGGTGGCCCAATGGGCCCTGTGTTTGTGCAAGGGACCACGCCTGTTTCCATTGAAAATGATGGCTCATTCTCGAATACGTTGCATGAGCCCGGGGACCCACTTTCGGATTCACACTCGACTGAATGTCCTGATGCTATGAACCTCCAAGATGATCTGATGATTGAGGGCGGGACAATTAGCATCTCCAGTGTTTACTCCCAAGGGTGAGCGTATACACGTAACTGCATGGAAAATATTTGGACAGTGTAATTACAAAGAAAACCCATACAAGTTTTGAAATTAAGGAAATATGCTTTTTGATTTGGTTTTTAGTCTTGTTATGTTTACCCCCCTTTAAATCGAGGCATATCAAACCCCAAGGCGCTTTTTTATAAGTTGGGAAGTTTGGATTTTTACTGGTAATTACTCTAATCTACAGTTCAGCATCAATTGTTAGATAATTGTGGAATGGATCATGATCAGGTTACTGAATTCATTGTCACAAGCACTACAGAGCACAGGTGTGGATTTGTCTCAAGCCAGCATATCAGTCCAGATTAATCTTGGAAAACGAGCACAGAGAGGATCAATTGCTAAGGTATGTTGCATCTTAGCCAACAATTGTCATACCATTTAGTTTTAGTTTATAAAAGATAAACTTTTAATCTACAAGGAATAATAGTATATTTACATTCCCTCAACATTTGTTTCAATGTAAAACCTCTACCTATCAATCGACATTCGTTAAATGAAAAAGTAAAAATTCAAGGGGTGCATTTGTTATTTACAAACTCGGGTACTTTTTGTTATTTACTCTTTTGGGGTTGTCTGGACTCAACAATTATGTACATCCTTTGACTGAAAGTTCTATTTTGTCTCTTACTATATAGGATCAGGGTATTTCAATGCCTTCTGGAGACTTGCCAGGTGGAACATTTCAAGACATGGGCAACAGTGAAGACTTAGATGAAGCCCAGAAAAGGCAGAAGATTTGAAGAATATTTTACTTAGCTCAGAAAAGGCAGAAGATTTGAAGGATAGTACTTTGTGACTGGCTACAAAGCTTCATTTCCAACTCAGTGAGTTTTTACATGGTGGCCAACTAGTTGATCCTTGTATATGCACGAGCTTTTTCTTGAGTTTTTGCTTTTCAATATGTTCCTTCACACTTAAGTTCATATAAAATGGCGCGATGGAGGATAGGTATTAGTCATCTTATTGGCGTTATTGGAATCTATCATTGGATGTTACTATAAGGTTGAAATACAAAATCGAACTTGAAGTTCATGAACCGAATGCTTTATTGGTTGTCTTTGCTTGGAATATGTGTTGTACAACTGTGTTTTTTGCTCACATTACCATTATTGTATGACCTTTCGGATTTAAAAAATAAAAATTTGAAAAAGCATTGGTATAATATAATCTTGGGACTTGAAATGTTCGCAAGAGGATCCTAAGCGCTCTTATGCCATGTACAACACCAATGGAAGGTTTTTCACATTGGTCATTCTGATTTTTCTTTTATGTTTGTCCTAAGCACTCTTCAGGGTTAGACCAAAAAAAGTCCTCGTCTTTGGGCTTTCCAGGTATGATTCTTCTTTTTGCAGAATTTCCATATCGACCTTTATGAGCTCTCATCACTCCCTGCTTGAACTCATGCCAGTTCTTATTTTTCTCATATTTGTCTATTAGATGAACCAATGCTTTATGATCAGGCTGTATGGTGGGCCTGAATCCTAGGTACCTGAAAACCCAATCATGCACTTAATTTCAACTAGGGAAGATTGCAAAAAGTATAACTGAGCATAGTTTTTGTAGTTAACTCAAACTAAAACTTATAGACAGTGGAAGAGGAAAAAAAAAAAAAA